TGGTGAAGAAAAGCAAATTGTGCCGCCAGTGCCTAAATCTTCATCGGCGTAAGTGCTTTTCCAATAAACAGTGCGGTATTAATGGCTGTGCAGCAAAGCACCACCCATTGCTACACAAAAGCATAAATTTATCACTTGAACGAAGTGAAATTGTGAATGCTCATAGTCATGAAGACGGGTCGCGCTTCAGAATTTTGCCGATCAGAGTTTATTGTAATGGTTCCTCTGTCGACACATATGCGTTTTTGGACGAAGGCTCGTCAGTGACTCTAATTGAACAGACGTTTTTCAATAAATTGGGGCTAAAAGGTAAGCGTGCACCTCTAGAGCTTCGATGGACAGGAGATACTACACGCTCTGAAGACGAATCGGTGAAGATTAACTCAGAATTATCCAGTGTTAATGGTGAATCCCGTTACACTCTATACGACGTTCGTACCGTCCATAACCTTCGTCTACCATCACAGTCCTTGAATTTCGATAATATCGCCAAGGCCAACCCATATCTTAAAGGCTTGCCAGTGCAGTCATATGCAAACTCCAAGCCGATGATTTTAATTGGCCTAAACAACTGTAGAGTGGCAGTCCCACTGAAGATACGAGAAGGTGGGCGCGGTCAGCCAATTGCAACTAAAACCCGCCTCGGCTGGTCTTTGCAGGGCAATGGAAAAATTTCCGGATCATCCGGTTCATTAAATATTCATACGTGTGAGTGCGAAAAACGCTACAAAGTGCTACACGATGAAGTGAAGGAGTATTTCGCCCTGGAAGTGCCTCAAGAGAAGAAAATTTTATCAGCCGATGATGAAAAGGCCATGAAGGTTCTCCAAAGTACAGCTGTAAAAATAGATCAACGGTTCGAAGTCGGTTTGCTCTGGAAGAACGAACCGGTGCAATTGGCCGAAAGTTACGAAGTCGCATATAATCGCCTAAAGTGTCTTCAAAGAAAGTTCAATAAGAACCCCCAGTTACAGCAAAAAATGCAAGGGGAAATTGACAAACTAATTTCTAAGGGCTATGCGCGCAAGGTGTTGGATTCAGAAATGTTTTCGTTTAAGGGCCGGACATGGTATCTTCCAGTCTTCGTTGCTCTCAATTCGAACAAACCCGGTAAAGTGCGCCTAGTCTGGGACGCGGCGGCAAAGTCACATAACAAGTCTCTTGACGCCACTCTTTAATATTCTAATTGAGTTTCGCGTAGGGAAAATAGCGATTTGCGGCGACATAGCCGAAATGTTTCACCGCATAAATGTAAGAGATGAAGACATTCACGCTCAGCGATTTTTGTGGTTCGAAAACGAGGGCGGTAAATATAAGCCGTGTGCGTATGTTATGAAGGCCCTAACCTTTGGCATAAGCTGTGCGCCCTGCATCGCTCATTTCGTCCGTAACAAGAATGCAGAAGAATTTCGTAGTGTGTATCCACGCCGTGAAATCAGTGGAGAGCTATCACTATATGGACGACTTTATCGATAGTGTGGACATCGAAGCAGAGGCGATTGAATTGGCAATGACAGTTAAAAGAATCCACGCTTCTGGCGGCTTTCATATGAGAAATCGGGCAACAAACTCCCCTCTTGTAAGACAAGAATTGTGCGATGATGGATCTCCAGCGGAAAAGTTGTTTGGAGCTACAGAAAAAATTCTCGGTATGTTTTGGGAATCCAATAATGACGTTTTTTAGTACAATTACAGATTCTCGAGGCTCAGAAGAGATGTTTTCCAAACGAACGTGGTCCCTACCAAAAGAGAAGTTCTGCAAGGGCTAATGTCCATATTCGACCCGCTTGGACTTGTATCGGACTTAACGATTGGTCTTAAAATTTTAGTGCAAGACATTTGGCGCTCAGGAATAAAGTGGGATGACGAACTCAGCGGGGAGCTACGCGTAAAATGGCGTTCACGGCTTTCGAATCGGCATAAAATATCGTCTACCGTCATCCCCAGATGCTATTCTAGGCTGCTAAAAATGGCGTCGACCGTCCAGTTGCATAAGTTTGTTGACGCAGGCGAAAATGCGTACGCTGCGGTATGCTATTTTCGAATTCAATATAATAGCGACGTCGATGTTTCAATTGTAGCAGTTAAGTCCAAGGTGACCCCTATAAAGCCGATATCAATCCCTCGATTAGAGTTGCAAGCGGCGTTAATTGGTACGTGCTTGGCCGCGAAAATTAGAAACGCGACAAGACTTCATTGTATCGATAGCTTCTTCTGGTCCGATTCCAAGACCGTGTTAAAATGGTTGTCCATGGATCCGAAAAACTTCAAGGCGTTCGTGATGCATAGAGTTGGCGAAATACTGGAGTCAACTAACGCTACTCAATGGAATTGGGTCCCATCCAAGATGAATCCAGCCGACCATTCGACAAAGATTGGCACAACAACAGATGACAACATGTGGACGAGAGGACCTGAATTTCTGAAATTCGAGACATTTGAATGGACAAAATGGTTACACTTGGAGAGCGCCGATGACGAAGAAGTACGTAATCGGCTGTTACACATCTGCTCGCCGAAATGTTTCTCTATGTTTCTATTATATATGGAAAAGTTAAAGGCCGCGACCCATAGCAGCAAAGCACCAGAAAACATCCAATTCGAATGCATCCAGAAATCTAAAAACATCTTATTCAAATACGCCCAACTGAGCGAGTTTGCTGAGGAGATTTGGTGTCTAAAAAATTGTAAACAGATCCACAAAAGTAGTAAGCTAAAGCAATTTAATATGTTCCTGGATGAAAATGGCGTCATACGAGCTTGCGGCAGGGCGAGCACGCTAAATTGTAATCAGGCAATAATTTTACCTCACAGCCATTATATTGCATTCCTTGTGGTTCGATATTATCATAAAAATGGTCACCATTGTTTGCATGAAGCAGTGATTTGTAATATTAAATCATATTTTTACATCCCTAGATTAAGGGCTCTCTACAAAGGCGTCCGAAGCAGATGCCAGTACTGTAAGGACGATGCAGCAGTGCCCCATTCCCCACAAATGGCTTCTTTACCGCCAGCAAGACTGTCGAGTTTTGAACGTCCATTTACGTACGTTGGTATCGATTTTTTTGGCCCTCTGTATGCAACCGTTGGCAGACGTAAGGCAAAAAGATGGGGTGTTTTGTTTACGTGCCTGACTGTGCGGGCAATACATATTGAAGTGGCTCACAGTCTTGATACCAGTTCGTGCATTATGTGTATCCCCAACTTCATCAGTCGACGTGGCTCACCGAGAGAAATATACACTGATAACGGAACCAATTTTAAGTCTGTGGAAAAAATTCTTCGTGAAGAAAATCTAAACTTACGCCAAGTCTCCTCGAAGTGCGACGATATTAAATGGCGGTTTAATCCTCCAGCGGCCCCGCATATGGGCGGAGCATGGGAGCGTTTAATACGAACGGGGAAATCAATACTCTATGCTATGTGTCCCGCCTTTAAGTTTAAGGATGAGACTTTAAGATGTGCCCTATGGGAAATTGAGTTCATTATTAATTCTCGCCCATTGACATTTGTGAGCTTGGAATCATGTGAAGACGACTCGCTAACACCGAATCATCTTTTACTAGGTGCTAAGCCTCTAGTGGAGCATGATCACGATCTCTGACATCGGTGGCATCAAACCCAAAAGTTTGCTAATCATTTTTGGCGACGATGGGTACGCGAATATAGTCCGAGTCTGGTGCGACGTAGCAAGTGGTTCGAGAAGGTGAAGCCGCCATCTGTCGGAGATATAGTCATACTAGTTGACGAAACGCTACCCCGTAATAGCTGGCACAAGGGAGTCGTCACCGAAACAATCACTGCCAAGGATGGTCAAGTACGCCGTGTCATGGTCAAAACCAGTACCAGTTTGTTTGAGAGGCCCGCCACCAAAATAGCTGTATAAGACGTCGGAATTGCTCAAGACGGCAAGCTCATGAATCCCTAACTCGCTTGCAAGGTGGGGAATGTTACCGCCGTCACTGTATTATGTATCTATATTAGTTATTATCTATCTATTCTATTTTCGCTTTCGCAATACATAATTGAATACATACACTCGATCTATGTGGACAGTAAATACATATGCATGTACATATTATTACTATTTATTGTTTTCTAATAACGGTGCTATCTGGTGACACTATTACGCTTAAAAGGACATTGCAAACTAGAAATTAGTGGCAGTCGGTTTTGTCAAACAGCAAGAAAACATATTGCTTTAAAGCATCATCACTATTTGTTAATTGCAGTAAGCCCATCATTTGGAAATAAATCGATTGCTCTTAAAATTTTTCGTGTTTGATTTAAGCTGAAAGCCACAGCCATACTCGTTGAGACATTTCATAATTCCTTCTTTTAAATTTGCAGCTGTATGTCGTTTAGTTGTTTCAATCATTCCTGAAAAAAAGTAAAGAAGTATGATTGTTGAATACTTATTCATGTAAATGAATATACATTTGTTTGTATGTGTGTTTATTTATATAAAACGAAATTACTTACCAATTGTATGAACAATGACTTTGTAATCTTTAATGTGTTGGATGTTGATCCCCAGCACGCTTCTTTCCATGCGAGTTGCGCTGTAAATTTTTATAGATATATTATTTTATTTTTTTACCGCATGACCTATTTTTTCCTTAATTTGTTGACTTGCTTTGTCAAGAATGCTTACTATGTTCTTTGAGTTTAAATGTATACCAAACTTCTGCTCGTATGGTGATATAAGTTGTTTAAAATATTCCTCGTCATCAAATATTCGAAAGGGAATATTTTTTTTTGGTGACCAGTCCCATGCAGCATCTCAAAAAACTGTCTCTGTCTAAACTAGTACTTAACTTTGACACGTTTTTTTTTTTTTTTGTGGTAGAAGTATTATCATCATCACTTTCATCACTATTTTCTATATCTATTTTGTGTATAAGTTTATGTCTTTTAATATTTGCTCTTTTACACGACTCTACAATGCATGTACTTTTCTTGGTAGTTTCATCGTACTTAACGTAATTTTGCAAATCAGTTTTTTTCCTTCCCATTGTCTTTTCTCAATATTGTTATACCGTTTATTTATTTAAATAGTCGCTACTAAGCACTGTATAACACTCCTCTCTACCGATGTTTGGATAAAGAAATGTGTTCGCCCTCTTATATATATCCGACAAGAACATTCCAGAATTTACTGGAAAAGATTTCCCATTACTTCTACCTCTGACGACAATGCATATGTATATGTATACGTGCAATTATAGCGTAATTCCTTAGAAAAGCGAAAAAACATCTTTCATACAACGCCCTAAAAAGATTTCAGGATAAGCTGTTGTGAGTGATCACGAATGGAGCACCCGCATCGTTTATCTCATTTATGTAGGTGCACACCCAAAACTCTTACAAAATAAAATTTTATGAAGAACGTACGTATTTACGAAATATCTTGTATTCAGGGAAATTCCAACTAAACCACACAGCTCCACACTTAGCGAAATGCAGTTTGAAGAAAAATTCACTACCTGCTACAACGGATGAGAGAAACAAAAAGATGACAACAGCATTTGCACAACACTTGACGAAGCACGAACACTTTGCGGACTTTGGGAATACGAGAATTTTGGACATCGAAAGAGGGGTAAAAAGGAGAATGACATTAGAAAGCCTACGTATACAACAACAAATAGACAATGCGATCAACTTTAAAGAGGACGTGGATAACACCAACAAAGTGTATGCAGCTGTAATCAATAACAAATATAAATAAGAATATAGGATTGGAATTTGGTAATATTGTGAAAAGATACTTAAAATGGTGCTAACGTTTATCGTTTGATAAAAAAATTTTGTCAATAATATTTATGTAAATGTGAGTTCAAAGTCAGAATTAGTGTAAAGTAATTGTCGCTAACAATGTTTATTGTTCTTGCATCAGCGAATTTTACTTGCTAATCATGCTTATTTGGTTATTTGTTTTTATTTTTCGAATAAAGACTCCCTGATGAAGACGCGAGAGCGTTGAAACGCGTAGGAGGGTAAAAGGAAAATTAAAAAAAAAATTGCTTTTTTAACTCTATCGGCCGAAGCAGCTCCAACTCAGCAAACATAACAAATAAGAATTTGGCCCAAATATTTATAATTAAATAAATTTCAATTTCAAAAAGGCATTCCAAAAGCACACAATTCATTTATTTAAGATTAAATCTTTTAAATACAAAACATATACAGCCCTATTCTGCATTTCGATTACGTTCCCGCATTCCGCTCCGCTGGAAATGAAAGAAGGAGAGGAAGAGAGAAAACATCTTTCGAAATCAGCTGTTTGCCCAGGAATGTGTGAAATCGAAACAAAACAAAGAAACGTTTGCCACCAAATTGTAGCAGCTTCAGAAGTTAACATTTGTAAATATTCTAAAATAACTAAATATATCTTAAATTATTGTAATTTTAAAACAAAATTTCGTTTCTTCTTAAATTAAGTCGAAACATAATCATAGAATCCATAGCCGCGGCATTATTGCTTGAAGAGGAGCACAACGCATCCCCGAATGCTGTGGTGAAAGTGGAAAGGCGGAGATTAAGAGATATGTGTGATCCGTTCCAAATGAGCGAAGAATTGTAAGAAATGCATGTGTAAAGTGCTAAGCTTAATAAAATTGGTTAACACTTTTAGATTCAAAAAGAACTTTCGACTTAACAAGGATGCTTTCAAGTATGTTTTGGATACTTTTGCAAGAGAAACTCAGCGAAATACCTTAACGTCTGTATCACCGCTTAACCAAGTAGTGGCCGCGATAAGATTTTTTGCGGAGGGCAGTTACCAACACGGAGTTGGTGCAGACTATAATGTCGGAATGGGTCAGGCAACCGTGTCAAAGTCACTGTCCAAATTTCTTGAAGTGATGCAACGAAAGCGTTGTCCTGAATGGATAAAATTTAAGCAGACTGAAGAGGAAAAAATACAAGCAAAACAGGAGTTTTATGCGAAGGTTGGCTTCCCAGGGGTCATCATGTGCGTTGATGGCACGCATATAAGAATAATCAAGCTATATGAAGAAGATTTTCTGTATTACAACAGAAAAGGATTTTTTAGCATTAACGCTATGGTGGTGAGCATTATTTCAATTACATTAGTGCCGTAGTTTGATTCAATTGTTTTCGTAAATTTAATTTCTATTTTCAGGTGTGCGATAACAAAATGCGTATAAGAAGTATTGATGCGCGATATCCCGGATGCAATCACGACTCGCATATATGGAGTTTGAGCAGTGTTGCCAACTTTTCAGTGTCAAAAAGCACCAAACCTTGGAAAAAAGAGCGTTTTACCGCACTAAAAGCACTAAATTTTTTTTATCATAACAGTTTGTGGTAAACAAAAGTAAAAAAATAAACATTACAATTACATGTATAAATAAATACACATTCATGCTTGCGAAACTGGTACATCTGGAGAAGAAACAATCGAATCGCAACAAACGAAATTTAATTTTAAAGGGGAAGAGCAATACTTAATGATACCCTAAGTGGAAGTGAGCGAAAAATTTTTTTGTTTTATAATATAACCTCAAATATTGCGAAGAACCGTGTTTTTACACTTAGAGGCTAGGATATCTCAAAATTCTAACGTGGTAGAGAAATTCTGCAGCTAGATTTGGATTCAGCACCGAAAAATCTACACAAAACGGTTCCACTCAGGTGGCAAAAAAAGTTAAAATTTTTCGAACTGTGTAATCAATCAATAACCAAGAAAATAAAAAAATAAATACTTAACTTATCTGCGTGCTAGCATTTTCAACGCGAATACAATTTAACAAAAACGCAAGAACGTGGGTTTGCTACTTCATCTTTTTATCAATCAAGGTTTGCATTTTAGTGCATTTAAATTTGTAAATTCAGAAATTTTAGTTCAGAAAAAAGCACTAAAAAGGGCACTAGGCACTAAACTATTATTTTTGGCGTTTTAATTTTCAAAAAGCACTAAATCTAGTGCTTAAAGCACTAAGTTGGCAACTATGGGTTTGAGTAAGCTGCGATTTTATATGGAACGGCGATATCGGGAAGGTGAAAGAAACGCCTGGTTGTTAGGTATTTATTTACTTGTGAAAGTCGTGTGTCTAACTCTGTTGTGAACAATGATCCCTTTTATTAACAGGCGATGCGGGGTATCCTTTGGAGCCCTGGCTAATGACTCCATATCGGTCTGTAAGTGAAGGCACCCAACAAAGCAATTACAACATGCGCCACTCCAGAACTAGAAATATAGTGGAGCGCACTATCGGAGTCTTGAAAAACCGTTTCCGATGCTTGTTGGGTGCACGGGAACTGCATTACTCACCGAAAAGTCAGTCTAATTATAAACGTTGCTTGTGCACTTCACAACATTTGTATTCACTACAGAGTGGAAGATTTAAATGCAAACGAATTGGACTTTGAAATCCGCCAGGAGGCCGAAGAAGAACAAAGCGGTGATTCCAATTATGCTTCCGTGGGTAATCGTATTAGAGACAATATACTTTCTTTTTTTTAACTTACTAAAAACGAGTATAATAAAAAAGTAAAAAAAGATGTTTTCTTATGTAAATTCACTTTTATTTTATATTAGAAAAATAAATTACATTCTGTACATTTATAAATGGTTAAAATATAAGTGTATATTAATATTATATACTAGCCAATGCCCGCTTATTTCGCGGCGCCTAATAAGAGCTTTTGCGTTGGCCAATGCAAAAGAGCGTTGAAAAACAACATTAGTCTGTAAAGTCAAAATTTTTGATTTAAGTTGAAACCACTAAGGCGCAGTATCCTCCTCACACATAGGCCAATAATAGTAACGCTGTGATACCATATGCAATACCAATCCCTTTCGGTGCCATGTGCTTTACCGATGGTCCACCTGTGAGATCTCTGTCAAGCATGCGTAATATTTTTGTATGATCTTGCAACTACTACATTGGTGCGATGCGTATGGCAATAACAGTTCTTATAGGGAAACTCAAGAGCACAGTGTGTTTTCTGTTATAGG